AGGAAATTGTCTTTTTAAAGTTTTCACCCTACCCATATTCAAGACTCACTCCCCTAATCTGGCTCAGTCCCTGGCCTCTCTCCCCTGCATAGCTGCTCTTGTGGTTCTGATACTATTTAGTGACATATTAGGCTTATCTTTGCCAGTCCTCTCTCTGACCCCAGTTCATTGCCTAGCTGACTTTGTCTCCACATAAATACCTCCCATCCTGAGTAGCATGCCGCCCTCCACCTCTATCCATCTCTCTCTTATATTACATCATCTTGTTTTAATGTCTTTTCAGCATTTAGCTTAACATAAAATTATCCTGTTCACTCAGTTGTATTACTATCTGATTATATCTGTCTCTCCCTCTCTAGGCAGTAAGCTCCCTGGAAACAAGGGCTTTGACTGTCTTGTTCACTTCCAATCCCCAGCACCCAGGACAGTACCTGGCACAGAATAAATATTCTTTCATAGTAATAAATTAGTACACTTATTGAGAGAAAGGTTTCTGTTATGTATTTCTGGACCCTCTCCAGCTCCTAGAACCATTGCAATAATAATGACTCAATAATAATTAGAGAATTGTGGATGGCCCCTAAAATGATGTCTCATTGTCACATCTATTGTTCACTGAAGAAGACATTTCTTAAGCACCTGACATCTGCTTGGTAAATGCAGAAATACAGAGAACCAAAGTCTGGTCCCAGAAAGTCAAGCCACAAAAAGAGAGCAACATCCCACTTATTTACAGTAATATAGCACTTTTTTTGCTATTTGTTTATTGTTGTTCAAGTACAGTTGTCTCCATTTGCCCCCACCACTCTCCCTGCTCCACCCACCCCCACCTCCCACCCTCAACCCTACCGGGCTTAAGTTCATTAACGTTATAGAGTGGTTTAACTCATAGAAAATAGCATCTGAAAGTTTCCAGAAAATCACTTCAAGAGTCCTAAGGCAGTAATTGGACAGAGTCAGTTATTTCTTCCTCAAACTATAAGGGGTTTGTGGAATAGATTGATGATTTTTCCCAGTAAAGTAAGGGTTTTTATTTTGAATTAAAAGAAACTACTCAAAAATATGCCTTTTATTTTATAAACACTTGTCTAATGTTAATGGATCTCAAATGAAATTGAAAGAATGGTATGGGTAAGGCATGGTCTGTATTAAATGTAAACATTTCTCATAGGCAGACAAAGGCAGCAAATCTGCCCCCTGCTCTGACTACTGATAGCTCAGTGTTTGTGCACAGTGGGTATTGAGTGAAAGACTCCATCCCCAACCCCATACATTCTCATAGCAGGGTGTTTCCCAATCATGTGCCTCCCTTATTACTGCATAATTTACCATAATTCTTTATATTTCTATCTTCTCCATGTAAGCCCTGTAAGTCCTATGAAGATGAGTTGAGACGATCTTATCCACCATTCTATTCCCAGCACTTAGCACACACCTATCACATACTCCAAGCATAAATATGCTCAGTGATTAATTGCTAAATAAGTGAATAATTGGCAAATGGATATATTCTAGGGAAGGACACATCTGGGATGGAGAGCCCATGCAAACAGTTATAAAGACTTAGACATATACTGAATAGATAAATACTAAGATGGGCTCTAGCAGTGAGGGATGATAGGGTTTTCAGAGGCACACAATTAATTACTACTTCCCCAAACCTCACAGATATTTTCTGAAATACAATTTAATGATATTCATTTGTTTACTAGACTTGGTCTTGTAAATTCACTCTATTAAAATAAATCCCACCACCAATTTTGAGAGCTGATCCAAGATTATCATCTCTCATAAAAACCCAGAAAAACTGACATCGGTAGCCTTATATATGAGGCCTGTCCAGAAGGTATGCAGCCATATAATATGAAAAATACAGGAATTTACAGGAGAAGATATGAGATACAAGAAACATAGTACACAAAACAATGATGCCTCAGTCCCCTTCAAAGTAGGTACCTTGGGACCTCACACAGTTCTCCCAGTTGCTATCAGCTAAACTGTCATATTTTCCAGAGTCTCATCAATGATCTGAAATCTCTTCCCTTTTGATGGTGATTTTAGTTTTAGGAAAAACCACCAGAAGTCACAGGGTGCCAAATATGGGCTGTAGGGTGTCTGAGTCACCTGGATGATTTGATGTTTAGCCAAAAAATCTCTGCACAAGACATGACGCATGAGTGGACGTGTTGTCATGATGCAGCTGCCAATCATCAGTTGCCCATAGCTGTGGTCTTCTGCATCATCCAAATAGTTTCCACAGAGGAATGTTCAAGCTTAAGGCAAAATCTGATGCAGAATCGTTGCTCTACATGATCAGTCATTTTGAATGCAGTGGCCACACAGTACACATGCTCACTCAATGGCATCTACCACACCCACTGACTAGTACAGTGAAGTCAGCACTGTTCACTCATATACATTCCAGTCCACTCTCATTGGCTGCCAGGTTACATCGATGTTGTGCAAACCATTCTTATTATATTAACAATGGCTGGACTTTTTCTGGACAGACTTCATATGACTCTTGAAAGGCTGTCAATCCCTAAAATAAATAATTTCCATGCACCTGAAGGAACCAGCTTTCCTAATCTAAACATCTTTAATACACACTAACTGTGGATTCTATGGTCTTCTGAAAGTGACTGCCAAATCCCACTATTAGCTGGAAGAGATCACTCTAGAGAAAAGAACTACTTTCCATTACTACAACCAAAGCATTAAAAGACCCACAAATTGAAGTTACAACAGAAAGGAAATAATAATTTTCAGCACTTTCTATGTGGAAGACATGCTGGTTGTTGCACCTAAGGGTAGTGGATGTGAATTTCAAAGTCACATACCCAATACTTGTGTGTAATCGTGTGAATGTATGTACAGATAACTATAGAAGTAGGTATGTATTTTGTGTTGTTTGCTCTTTTGTGTGATAGGCAGTCATGTGTGACAAGAAGAGACAGGCATAGGAGAGGCTCAGTAAATCAAAGATTATTATACTCACAGGTTGTAGAAACAGGAGGCACACCACACCATAGGAAAGCACCAACATCTGTTAGGAGGCAGAAGAAACAGGACCAAGGGCAGGATCAAGGCCATGGCCTATATTAAAATTCCATTGGGAAAGTCTAGGTAGGACAATGTAAACAATTTAAGTTAGATTGGCTAGCTGCTTAGTACCTGGTCCTTGGAATAGTTAAGGCAGAAAAATATTGCATGTGCAAAAACCAGATAGAGAAAGCATAGCCCTGGATTGGCATTGGTTCAAAACCTCAGGATTTTCCCCGGTGAAGTCTGAAACTGGCCCATACATAGAGGGTAAGGAAAGAGGCAGACCACTCCAGATTGGTAGGTGGCAGGTTCACCAAGCAAGGGAACTGACTTTCCAGGCTTGTCTTAGGTAGCCACAAAGTGAGTAGATCTCTGCACCCACCATCTGAATTTTCAGACCATCTGGAATCTTAAAAGTCTATACAGTGCCTTAATGGGATTCAGTCACTTATACAATCCAGATGGTCTCACAATCCATTGCTCTCTTAAAGCTTTGTCCTTGAAAATGTCTCCTCCCACTGTGGAAATGTGGGAAATGTTGCCCATTCCATGGGCAGAGGAGGGGATAAGGGGTTTCCAGTTGCCTGGGTTCAGCTCCAGGGTCAACAGGTGGGTCAAGTCCTCTCAAAGACCTCCTCTAACAATTAGTTAATTTGCCTATCGAAGGCATGCTCCTAGCTGAGTTTTTCCCTATCTCTAAGAATTGGCTAGGCCTTGGAGGAAAAATCTCTCCCAGAAAGAAGATTTTTTATGACAAAATATCATAATATAAAAAGAATTAAAATATAAACAATACCATGTATACACATATATACTTAAACTGGTATCTATTTAAACTGTGTTATGTGTGTGCAGCTGTGTTTATTTGCAGGCCAGTTTAAATTTGTGACTCATCTTTTAGCCTGCCTACTACTCAGCAATCTAGGCACACCATGATTCATTTGTCTTGATTTTCCAGGCCAATTCAATGTGATTTCTCAGTCAATTCATTCACCTTCTGTTTAAATTGCCTACAAGTTCTCCCCCTCCCTTCCTCCCCATGATCATGTTTACTCCCCATCAGCTCTTGCCCTGCCTCTTCAAGTAAACAAATTAATTCAGGTTTCATTGACCCTTCTCATTATTGCTCAGTCCAAATTGGTTACTGCCAAGGGAATTGGAGCATATTTGTAAAGAAAAATATCAACTTTATATAAACTGCCCCAATTTTTTTGCAGTCATAACTATTTTTTAATTGTTCTATACACTCCTCTCCCCCACAGAAAATAAGTAGATAAATAAAAGAAGTGGCCTACTAGATAGCCAAACTATAATTTCTGTTCTAGACTCCTAGATGGTTCATGGGTGAGCTTTGGGGATTTATAAACCTGTTTTTCAAAATGCAGCCAACCCACTAATATTGCAGTGATATAAATTTAAAAGCATTGTCATGTGAATTTTAATGGCTCAGAATAAAATAATGTACAATGGAATGGAAAGAAACATGAGTGAAACACCAGAGTAAGGGTATTGTTTTGAGAAATGTTATATTTATGTGACCGTGTGTACCAAACAACATGGAAAATATATTTCTAAGGAGAGTGGGCAAACAAGTTTGGAAACACACGAACAAATATATAACACTCGGACTTAATTCAACTTCTCCAGTTGTCCATGGTCCAAAAAGAGCACGAACATAATAAAATCAGACTCCCTTAAGGGCCTCCTCTGGGGTTACTCAAATTCTACCAGGACTCCCTTCCAGCTCTGGCATAATGTGGACCCGGCGCAGGCGAGGGCGCAGGCGCAGGCCTCCACTCCCCTAGAGGGCGATGAACAGAACCTGGTCGCCAAGGGTAGCTCAGCGCACGCGACCGGAAGCATTTCCACCCGGGACACATTTTTCGGTTCACAGGCCACGAGTGTTTCCTGTGACGTATTATCTGTTGGCAGAGCTGATCACGTGCTGTAGGAGAGGAAGTAACGTCACTCAGGGACCAGAAACCTGGCTGTGGCGCCGCTCTGAAGGTGTTCCATCAACATGTCTCATCTACCGATGAAACTCCTGCGCAAGAAAATCGAGAAGCGGAACCTCAAATTGCGGCAGCGAAACCTAAAGCTACAGGGTGAGATGCGTTAAGCTTAGCGGCGCCTCGGTTGCTGTGGGAGCCCACGCACAGCCGTCGCGTTCTTCGAGTGTCACCGCGGCTGCGGTGTGGCGTGAGCAGGGTCCCTGCGAGCACGCGTGCGTGTTGATAATGAAAAGGCAGCTTGGGGCACCCTTGAGTCCCGTCTCAAGCTGGTGCCGACTCGGCCGTGGCCTCACAACTGTCGTGACTGTCAGATCACCTTCTTCCACCTCTGCTTCCTATTCTAACTTCCTCACCTTCAGGTTCCACCTCGTCCCCACCTCTCACCCATTTCCGATTAGACACGTGGAACTTTATCTCCATGCAGCTTGCATTTACATTATCTATAATTGATTTCTATATTTTTTCAAAAGAAGCTCATCGTCACCCTTTTCACAAAAGTATCCTGATAACGTTGCCTTCCTCTGCCCACGTCCACTCACTTCCTACTCCGCTCGCACACGCATTTACAATTCTAAAAAGTGCTACACGCATACGTCGAACGCAAAGCCTCTTTCCAACCCTGTTTCCCCATCACTTCCAACTTGAGTTTATAAATTACTTAAGGGCTTCTACATATTTATATCTTTCACAAACACATGTAAAAAGGATTATACGTGAATCACCTTGCTTACCTATCTTCCTGACGGTGAGCCACAGGGATTGAAGTTATTTAGAGTAAGAGTTTTCAGCCCTATATAATAAGATGTAAACCCACGAAGGCAATTTTTGAGAACTAATGCTTTTACCCCAGTTGGTTTTCAAGAGAGATTGATTTATTGGAAGAAGCCTTGGAGGAGAGGGAACGTTTGTGGGTTTTGGAAATAATGTTTTTTGAAATTCCTTTGTATTTCCAATTACTAACTACTTTTTGGTAGTTAAAGGAGTGGCTAAAATAAAAGATGGTGTTATCTGTTTCTGTAAATAAACATGGAAACTTTCATAAAGACATTCTTGGGTAGTTTATGTAAGTATTGGGACAAATGTGTGGTTTATTCAGCAATTTTCAGTTCACTATCTAGGAAAGTTGAGGGAGAATGTTTTGAAGTTGTATTTATATGAGAAGTATTAGTTGTGTAAGATGTAAGTTGTTTATAATATATCTGTTAGTCACACCTTTATCAAATACCTAATAGTAAAATGTATTTTTTATAACTGCTATTGTCTAGCCCTAGCTGTTTAAATATTTAACCTCATAAAGTTTTCCTGTCCTGGACTTTTTACTCCTTAAGGACAGAGATGGTGGTTTTCTGAAGTAAGATGCAGCTTTCCCTCTTACAGCATTTTTCTGTAAAGGAAATTTACTTGCCCTGTAGTGCAACATCATAAAATTGCAAGTGGTTTTAATGATAAGCAAGAAGTCCTCAAATAATGTTTTGTTCAGTGTTATTGGTTGTAGCATTAATAAGATGCCCTAGGAACTTAACTCTCATTTATATCATTTAGCCAATGTAAATTGGTTGCAGTTCCAAGAACCTGTCAGTGACATTAAGTGAGAATTTAGTGTTTATGAAAGGAAAGTAAAAGCTAAATCATTTCAGTTCTGGAAGCCATGGAATTTCTCACTGGGGATTACAGTATTTCTAAGTATACTTCTTTGTTACAATGTGTTCTGTTTCTGCTTTTAAACAGGGGTCAGGAATGTGAGCCTATCAGAAATTGAAAATGGAGATATGTCTGAAGAAACAGTAGGAAGTGGAAAAGTTAAAAAATCCTTACAACAGTCTATGAAGGTAGGTTTATCAGCAGCCCAAAATGGAGATACATCTGAAGAAACAATAAGAAGTGGAAAAGTTAAAAAATCTGTAAAGCAGTCTATGAATAAGGGTTTGTCGGAAGCCCAAAATGGAGATACATCTAAAGAAAAAGTGGAAAATGTAAAAGTTAAAATATCCCCCAAGAAATCTACCATATTAACCAATGGGGAAGCAGCAGTGCAGTCTCCCAATTCAGAATCAAAGAAGAAGAAGAAGAAGAAGAAGAAGAAGAGAAAAATGGTGGATGATCATGGGCCTGGTAAGTATTTCGTTTCTGAATTTAAGCTGTTTAAACTATTTTTCGGTTGTCATTCTTCCTTTATTATTATTGTGCCTGCATGACATGCAAGGCACCCCTCTGTACTCACTAGTATATCAGAAACTGGGCTGGTAGCTAAAGGAAACATGGTGGGGGGGAGTCAGTTTAACTTTTCCTAAAATATTGAACAATGTGTCATGCCTTTACATTCCTTAAGAACCTTAAATAAAACCTGACACTTAAGAATCTTCTGTTTATGTCTTCCTTAGACATTTACAAATTTGCTCTTCTATTACCTGGACTTTGTATGAAAAACAGAACATGCCGTGACATAGTATTTTAGGTGTGCCTGTTTACAAAGAGAAATGTGGAGTTATTGATACTAAAGAAATCCAGGCTGGTAGAATCTACCTCCTTGGGCCTTTTTTTTTTTTTTACATTAATGATTCTTTTTAATTATTTTTTGCCCCCCTTTTTTTTTTTACCATAAATTTCTTCCTTTTGAAAGGAGAGTCAGTAATAATTTGGGCGTGCAAAGTGCACAAAATAGCAGTTAGGAAATGCCTGGATAAATAGAATAGTAATTTCCAAGTGAGTATGATGGCCAGGATAGTATTAAGTGGGAAGTGAAGTGAAGTTTTCTTTTGGAAGACGATTGGATTTGAATGAGCTTAGGTGAAAGGAAAGGCATTTTAATGGAGATGTGAGCAAGCAGAGATTTCAAGGGAAGATAGAAAAGATATCACCAAACTATTCAGCTTTCCACCTATTTTTGTGGTGGGCGGGAAGCTTTACTGGAACACTGCAATACCTATTTGTTTATTTGGTCTTTATGGTGACAGACCAGATGGCCTGAAAAACCGAAAATGTTTATTATCTGGCCCTTTTAGCAAAACTTTTGCCAACACTTGAGTTAGAATTTTCTGTTTATGTCTTATCTGAAATAAAGCTTTCATTAGAAAGGAGCTTTGAACTTTTCCAAACATGTATGGCTATCTTCATGCTGCCTACAGACTAATGTACTTACAGGTTATAAATTGCATAAATAAAAATGTGAAGCAAGATAGAGAAAAGCATGAAGGTAAGACCTTACAGTTTTTATTTAAAAGTGATTGTCATTGTGTTCTAAAGTTATTAGTGCCTTTAGGGTTCTTTTTCTAAGTATGGCTAAGAAAGTGATTTATTTCTATTCTCAAGCACTGAATTTCAGGGCTGGGACTTTTAAGGACTATTTTAAGGAAAATACAAGTGATAAGTCATGAAGACCAGCTGATGGTATCCATGGCTTTTGAACATGTGAGTCCTGCAGAGATGACCATTTCCCAGAAGGATGGTAGTAAAGTCTAAGGAAGAGGCCAGTTCTGGGCTACAGCATCCTGAGTTCTGGTGTGGGTCAGGTCTGCTCTAACCAGTGTCACTAACTACCGTAAATTGATAAAAGCCCAGGATGGTAGTTGACCCATTTGACCCAAAGAGACTTTGAAGAGTGTGATGAAAGTTGTGAATATAGAAGTAAAAAGCCAGGAGGCCTTACCTTTTCTTCCCTCAGCCCTTAAATTCAAGGGCAGGCCAGTTTTTGTCACCTTGCTACGTGAATTGTTGCCCCTGCTTTGTAGTCTTATCTTTAGTGACATGAAGAGCCTTTGGTATTTCTGTTCATCTTTAAAACAAAATTAGCTTTTATAGAAAACGTAACATTTATGGTATGGGAGGAAAATTAGTGCTTGTTATGAGTTTTGTTTTGTTTTTGTTTTTGTTTTTTAACATTAATGATATGCTTTTTTCCCCTCAGTGAAGTATTATAGAACTTGGAACAATTAGAATACTTAAATTGCTTAGTTAGACTCTTTTTTAAAAATGGTTACATAAGGAAGTTTTGTTGGAAAATCTGGATATCCTACTGGGTTTTTTAATATAACCAAATCTTTAATTATGAAAAAAAATTATTAGCAAATTAAAACTGAAAATTTGTTTAAGTTTTGAAAATAAGCCTCTTTAGCTCTGGCCAGTGTAGCTCAGTGGATTGAGCACTGGACTGTGAACCAAAGTGTCGTAGGTTCGATGCCCAGCTGGGGCACATGTCTGGGTTGTGGGCCAGGTCCCCAATGTGGGGTGCGCAAGAGGCAACCACACACTGAGGTTTCTCTCTCTTTATCCTTCCCTTCTCCTCTAAAAATAAATAAGTCTTTAAAAAAAACGGAAAATATGCCTCTTTAAATCACACATCTTTTGTTTTGTGATCCCATTTGGTATTTTTATGTCAAGAAAAAAAAGGGGGTGTTTTGTTTTTTAAAACAAAGATACCAAAAAAGCAAAAACCGAAGACAAGGTAGAATTGGAAGAAGGTGCCCAGGCTCCAGAAGAAACAGAAACCAGTGTGGAGAAGCCAGACGATGGAAAAGAGGACAGTGAAGTGCCCGGCCTGCCCCTGGGACTGACAGGTAACTTGTAGAAAGTTTTCCAGATAGATCTTAAAAATTCCATACCTCTTTGCATTATAAGATTTGCAGTTTTAATTGTGACTTTTATCTGGAAAAAGTAAGGACTGACAAATTTTTTATATCTTAAGTGATGCGTTTTATTTTCCATATTGTATCTTAGTGTCTGTTTATTTTTTCCTTTACTCCTAACAAAATTTTAATAATGCACACAAACAGCTTCTGGGGCCCTTTGTTCCTTTGGTTTATCGTTTTCTAAAGCTCATTCCCTGTTGTAGTAGGAAAATTATTGGCCAGAAGTCTGAAGACCAGAGGTTTAATACTGGCTTATTACTGAGAAAGAAGGTAGAGGCAGGAATTAACAGTGTTGAAGAACTTGTGCCCGGTTAACCTCCTGTGGCCTTTGTTTCTATATCTGTAAATTCAAGAGTTTAAACTAGAATTAGTTGCCCCTAAACAAGAATGTTTGGGAGTTACCTGAGTTGTTTTGTTTGTTTTTGTTAAAATATTGAGGCCCCACCCCAGACCTGCATAGTTAAAATTGCAAGGGCTATGGCAGTAGTTCTCTGCCAGGGCGGTTTTGTCTCCCCGGTGGGGTTGCTGCTTCACCTGCTGAAGAACCACACACCTGATATGTAGGTTCAGCCTAGCAGGTTGGTTCTGTCTGACTCGGTTGCCTTTGGGAATGAGGTTAACCACCCTTTTGATTGACTTAACACATGGTTTTTATTATACTGGTTGTTTTCACTTCTTATTTCAGATTTCTTTAAATATTTTATATTACATAGAAATTATTGGAATTTAGTCTTAGTGGAGAAAGCTATTATAAGCTTGACTTCAACCCAGTAATGCTTTCAATCAGCAAAACTAAGTTAGGCAGCTCCAGCTATATGAACTACTAAAAATGATAAATGTGCTAATAATAAACTGTTTTCTGTCTAGGAGCTTTTGAGGATACTTCATTTGCTTCCCTATCTAATCTTGTCAATGAGAACACACTGAAGGCAATAAAAGAAATGGGCTTTACAAACATGACTGAAATTCAGCATAAAAGTATCAGACCACTTCTGGAAGGCAGGTATGATTAACATTGATTGATGTTTGACCATTAGTATCTCTGTTTTTAGTGCTAGCAATTTGGAGAGAAAGTACCAGTGTGTTCTATTGATTTTGCACTGTGTTGGTTTGCATATCCAACCTGCATTAAAGACTTTAAATTATTTACTTATGGTTGAAGAAAAGTGTTTACTTTTGTTTCGTATTATGATTCTTATTTCTAAGTTAGGTTGATTTCAGTGATAGAAAAGGTAGCAACTTCGTCTTTCTTACTCCTATTCTGCCTGGGAGCCTAAAACCTATGTGATTGTGCCTGGTAGCTATTCAGTAAGTATTTGATGAATGAGTAGACTGTGTCTCTCTCCTCCTTTCCCTTTTTCATATTCAGGGATCTTCTCGCAGCTGCAAAAACAGGCAGCGGCAAAACCCTGGCATTTCTCATCCCCGCAGTGGAACTCATTGTTAAGTTAAAGTTTATGCCCAGGAATGGTAAGCCTTTGATCCAATTGTTTCTGCCATTGTCTGACTAGAAATTTATTGTAGCTGTTATGAACTCGTGGTGATAATTACAGTTTGACTTTTACCATATCTCATTTTTTGCTTTTTAGGAACAGGAGTTCTTATTCTCTCACCTACAAGGGAACTGGCCATGCAGACTTTTGGTGTTCTTAAAGAGCTAATGACACACCATGTTCACACATACGGATTAATAATGGGTGGCAGTAACAGATCTGCTGAAGCACAGAAACTCGCTAATGGGATCAACATCATTGTAGCTACACCAGGCCGTCTCCTGGACCATATGCAGGTAAGAAAACACTAGTGTGTAGTGCCTGTCTCGTCTTGTGTGGCACAACCTTGACAGCTAATGGTGTTTCTTTATCCTTTTGTCTTGTTAGAATACCCCAGGGTTTATGTATAAAAACCTACAGTGTCTGGTCATTGATGAGGCTGATCGGATCTTGGACGTTGGGTTTGAAGAGGAATTAAAGCAAATTATTAAACTTCTGCCAAGTAAGTAGTAGCATCTACATGTGGCTTGCAAAGTAGTTGCTAGAAGCAGGTGAGGGTTGTTCCTATATGAAAAATATTAATACCAGAACTTTAATATAACAAGTAAAGTAGCTGTGCCAATTAACTTTAGAGGTAGTTTGCAATATAAGTATCAAAATTACTAGTAACTTAATATAGTGGTTTTGCCATTTTAGAGGCTTAATGCAAGTTAAACAGCATTATGTCTCTCATCCACCCCAATTCTCCATCTTACTTTTTCTTTATCTGACATTTCCCAGGTAGCCATAGACTTGTTGCCTTCTGTGTATTATTTGAGTTATACATACCTTGATTATAGTAGTTGTAACATTATAAACTGCTTATATCTGTAATAAGGCCATTATTGCACTCATACAATTTGTTTTGTAATGCTTTACTGGCAATCTGTAGATATTTTAAATGCACAATTTGATAAACTTTGATGCTACACATGTGAAAACCATTACATCTATATAGTGAACATCTCCATAACCCTCAAATGTGTCTTCAATGCACCTTTGTAATCCCTCTCAGCCTCAGCAGGAGCAACCTTCACCTACGTCCAACAGCTATTCACACACATAGATTTCTCCCAGGCAACTGATAATCTACTTTCAGTCACTGTAGATGAGTTTTCCAGAGATTTATGAGTTGCAAACATTCATCTACAGCTTTTTTTATGGATGCTTATTTTCTTTTCTCTTGGGTACCTACTGAGAAATAGACTGGCTAGTGTGTATTTAACTTCTACCATGTTACGTCCCCATCAGCACTGTACAGGAGTTCCAGTTCGACCTATTAAGTCTTGAAATTAGGTAGCATTAACTCCTTTGTTCTTTTTTCAAAAGTGCTCTGGTTACTCTTGTCCTTTGCATTTCTATATAAATTTTAGAATTAGTTTGTCAATTTCTACTCCCTAAAAAAATCAGATTAGGGGTATATTGAATATAGGTCATTGGTGAAAGGCAGTATTCAGTTCAACCCATGAATAAGGTACATTTCCATTTATTGGCCTCTTGACTTCTCTCAACAGTGTTTTTAGTTTTCAGAGTGCAGGTTTTTTCACATGTTTCATTATCTTTATCCCTAAGTACTTCATTAAAATTTCAATTTCAAATTGTTTGTTTATGGTATGTTCATGTACAGTTGATTTTAGTTTATCCATCCTATGTCTCGCAAGGTAATTATTTCTGTGTTCAACTGGATTGTTCAGTATGACCCTTCAAATGAGGCTAGCTGATAGATTTTCTGCATAGGCAATCATGTCATCTAAAAATTTTAAAAGTGTATTAAATTCACTTAATATTTTTCTTGCCTAAATGCACTGGCGAAAAACTGCAGTACAGTGCTGAAGACATCTTTGTCTTATTCCTGATCCTTAGAGGGGAGTCTTATTCCTGATATTAGAAGGGAAAGAAAGCATTCAGTCTTTCTCCATAAAGTACAATGTTAGTTGGGGGTTGTTTTCTATAGATGCCCCTTGTCAGATTGAGGACAATCCCTTCTGTTTCCAGTTTGCTGAGACTTTTCTTTTTTAAAAAACATATTTTATTGATTATGCTATTACATTTGTCCCATTTTTTCTCCCTCTTATTCCCCTCCACCCTGCACTCCCCCCATCCACATTCCCCTCCTGCCCCCATTTCCCCCATGAGGTCCTCCAGCCACTGCCTTACCCCCTGTCCTTTCTGTCCCTCATGCCCTCTCCTCCCTCTACCTGCCTCTGCCCCTCCTACCAGTCTGAATGAATATTAACTCCTCTAACTCCTTGGTTGTCAGACTTCCATACAGTTTGATTCTGGCAGTTCTGGTTATTTTTTGTTTTTAAATGTGTTGTCCTTCTAGTTGCGCATGAAGGCAAAGTGTATCTACCTACGCCTCCATCCTAGCTGAAAGTCGACATTTTTCAACCAAGAAATAAATGTTAAATTTTGTCAAAAGCTTTTTCTGTGTCTGTTGAAATCATCTGATTTTTTTCTTCTTCAGTTTGTTAATATAGTAAATTATTTTTTTTAATTTTCAAATATTAAAGCAACCAATCCTGCATTCTTGGAATAAACCTTACTTGGTCATGAGTTATCCTTTTTTTATATTGCTGGATTCACTTTGCTAAAGTTTTGTTTAGAAATTTTGCAGATGTGTTCATGAGTCATTGTCAGGGTAATGGCGGGCTTCAAAGAATAAGTTGGAAGCTAAATTCTCTTTAGTGCTCTGGAGAGTTAGTGAAGAACTGGTAGTATTTGTTCCTTAAATATTTGAACTCACCACTAGAGACCAATAGGGATGGAGTCTTCTTTACATAAAGTTTTCAAGTACAGTTTCTTTAGTAGATGCAAGGCTGTTCAGGTTTTCTGTTTCTTGAATAAGTTTTAGCAGTTTGTCTTTCAAGGAAATTGTCCATTTCATCTAAGTTGTCAAATGAACATAAAGTTGCTCATGACATTCACTTAATATCTCTAGTGATGTAATGTCTCCCATTTTTGAGAGTTCTACTTAGGAGCATTTGTAGTTATAGAGCAGTTCTAAGGAGTCCCTGAAAGATTTGGGTTATTTTTACGTATATCTGTTTTAGCACGCAGACAGACCATGCTATTTTCTGCCACACAAACTCGAAAAGTTGAAGACCTAGCGAGGATTTCTCTGAAAAAGGAGCCATTGTATGTTGGTGTTGATGATGATAAAGCTAATGCAACAGTGGATGGTCTTGAGCAGGTACTTATTTTCAATATCTTAAATTTTAAGGATTTTTTTTCTTTGGTGTTTCCTTCTAATTGTTTAGAGTATGCCCCAGAAAGCAAGTGGGTTATTGAACTTTTAATTCCAATATAGCGAACTTGGGTATTGGGTCTCTGGCTTTCCTGGTTAAGGTATCTTGAACTCTGAATAATTTTTTTTTTAAGATTTTATTTATTTATTTTTAGAGAGGGAAGGGAGGGAGAAAGAGAGAGAGCGAGACAGAGAGAGAGAGAGAGAAACATCAATGTGTGGTTGCTGGGGGTCATGGCCTGCAACCCAGGCATGTACCCTGACTGGGAATCGAACCTGCGACATTTTGGTTCACAGCCCACGCTCAATCCACTGAGCTACGCCAGCCAGGGCCTAACTCTGAATAATTTAATTAGCTGTCTTTACTGTCTCTTAATACCACTTGCCATGTAAGAAGCATTATTAGCCACTACCACATATTGATGCAGTAAAATAAAAGTTGATTGTTTTAATAATCTCTTGCTCTAAGATGTGAGGTAAGTTAGAAGATGGAGAAGCTGGTTTCAGACACATAGCTGTGGAAAATAGGAAATGAGACAAAGATCCAAACTAGGTTGATTAAAAATAGAGTTTTCAGGTAGAATCTTTGATGAATAAAATATTTTCTGCAACAGTTTAGTTTAAAAAATTCTTATTGGTTTTTATTTTTTAAAAGTATGTTCATCCAGCTCTGTTATCTTGTTTAGGATTATGCACTTAAGCTGTGGTTATTTGAGATCTTGCTATTAAAGACCTTTTGAAACATGAATCATTGATATATCCTTTTTTTAAATCATTTTATTGTTCAATTATAGTTGTCTGCATTTTCTCCCCATCACTCCCCCAATATATCTTCAGAGTTGCAGTTAGTGGTGTTAATATGTTATGGTTGCAAGAACTGTTGGTAACCTGTAATCTCAGAAATATGGAACAAATTTAGTGTCCAGTGATTACAGCCTGTTAAAGGAATCAGAAGAGCTTAAAATAGCCTTATTTTAGGAATCCTTTATTAGAATGATGGCATGATTTTACTACAGGTGGAGCATGACACTCTGTGTGCAATGTTTATTAGTGCATTCATCAAATTACTGGCTAATGCAGCTGAAAATGCCCATTTGGTTATTTTATATCTGTTCATTTCAATTACGTCTAGGGATACGTTGTTTGTCCTTCTGAAAAGAGATTCCTCCTGCTCTTTACGTTCCTTAAGAAAAACCGGAAGAAGAAATTAATGGTCTTCTTTTCATCTTGTATGTCCGTGAAATACCACTATGAGTTGCTGAACTACATAGATTTGCCTGTATTGGCCATTCATGTAAGTGATTATGAAGTTTATTAAAAACAGGTTGTGCTTATCAAGTTACATAGATTGTGGAGTTCCAGGTATTACCCTCCTCTAAAAATAGGTCAGTCAACATTAGGTGATTGATCCTGTGGGGGAGGCAGGGAGCTCTGCTGGGTGTTGAAGGGTGAGAACCACAGAAGAATAAGAGACATCACCTACTTAGGAAAATTACAGGCCAGGGAGTGAACTTGAAATAAAGTAGTTTCGCAGCTCCACAGTTTGGGGGTTCTACATCTAGACCTCCCCAAAATAGACCTCCCCAAAATAGCCTTAAGTTGCCAGCTGTAATAGATGTTCTGGTTTGATTCTAGGGAAGGCAGAAGCAAAATAAGCGTACGACCACATTCTTCCAGTTTTGCAATGCAGACATGGGGATATTGTTGTGCACAGATGTGGCAGCCAGAGGGCTGGATATTCCTGAAGTTGACTGGATTGTTCAATATGACCCTCCAGATGACCCCAAGGTAACTGGCATCTTTGGAGTTTCTCAGAATGGCTACATTAAGGAGCACACTTCCTCTCCTGGTTCCCTGAGGAATACTACATTTGACATTCAGAAGCTTATTCCTTAGTTAGTCATGTTTTATTGTACAGTAACTTTGCAATATTTCTCTGGTGCTGGAAGTGTAATAGGGCTTTTGCAGGACCAAAAGGGTGCATGTAAAACGATTTGAGAGGCCTCAGTGGAACTTAAATTAGGAGTGTTAACATGTTTGGAATGAGTTGTTAAGAGCAGTAGGTGTCAGAAGGAAATAAAATTTGCTTACAGAGATAGATAAGACTCTGTAGTATATGTAGTAAAATAAGTTTATTAAGTATTTTCAACAAACAATAGATAAGATAAATTGTCAGCCAGCATTTAAACATGTTTCAGAAAGCCATTTTGAGGATGAAGCACACTTACTGGTCATTTTATTAGATCGTAGAGTTCATGTGACTAACATGCCCAGCTTTCCTTGGGCCTCAGTCATCATCCTCCTCAGGTGTGGAACGTGAAGAAGGAATGATGGACTCAACTTTGGGAACAGCCCTGGGGGAGGGGCAGCATCTCATAAAGAGGTACAGACACACTTATGTCCAGTGCCACACAAGTCCTGGACATGCAACCTGTGGCAGTCAGTTTGTAAACCCAGCTTTCTCTCTCCACTAAAGGAATACATTCATCGTGTGGGAAGAACAGCCAGAGGCCTAAATGGAAGGGGGCATGCCTTGCTCATTTTGCGCCCTGAAGAATTAGGTTTCCTTCGTTACTTGAAACAGTCCAAGGTAAAGACTTTTGCTTGGATAATCTTAAGTTGGGAATGAATTCCTCTTGGTGTAGGTATTGTTGGCCAGTGCAGACGGCCTGAAGCACAGTTTCTAGAAGTGTCTGATGAGTCATGATTTGCTGCAGTGTTATTAGAACCATTGTTACAGAAGTAAACAAGATTTCACGTGGGTCTGGACCAAGAAATGTGAACAGAGAATACTACCCAAATGCCTCATTTCTTGTGCTCTGGTTGGTCAGCAGTGCGTCTTGTGTCCTCATCTCTCCTCCCCTGTTCCCTACACCCCATTTGAAACCACCTCCACTCCTTTAAATCTCCCTCACACCTGAGCATCTCTCTGCCTCCTGCTCCCCTTCTTACAGTCTTGTCTGCATCTTTTACTCCTGGTGTCTTTGCCTCTTAACCTCACCGGAAGCAGTGGGGAATCTTTATTTGCTCCTTCTTTCTTCTCTTCCTCTCTCTCATTCATCAACTCTGCTTTTCAGCCAGTCTCTCCCTTACAGTTAGCTCTTTACCATCTCAAGTGTTTCACCAAGAAAAATAACTTCAACCCTAAAATTCTGCCACCTCCACCTCCTACGAGGCTACTGCCTGTTACCTTTCTTCAGTCTGCCATTTTGAAAAATGGTTCCTGTTTTTTCCATTTGTTTTCCATTCACCCTGTTGTCCACTGTCCCTCATCTGACTCTATCCCACCAAATCTGAATTCATTGGGATTTTAAGTGGCCTCTTTGTTGCTAGATGTGGTGAATACTTATCATACCTTCTTTTCCCTGTCATCTGCCTCCTGTTGGTTTCCCTGGCAAACAGTCTTGCCATGTGCAGTTTCTTCTATTCAGTATGTAGGAGGAGTACTCAGAAATTGCTCTACACACTTTCACTTTTCCTGTTCAGTGCCCTTTTCCTGGTTCTCTAGATTGCCTCTGGTTTTAGGAAGCTGTTGTCTTCTGGGAAGCATCACTGACTCCTGCCCTCATGTTTCTGCAGCAGGAGTGCTCCTTGAGATGTTGCCTCTTATCTGTCTCCCTGTAAGACTATAAGTTCTTTGAGGGCAGAGCCCATAGCCTGGGTAGCTATTCCCACCCCACCCCACTCCCGTAGTACAGGTCTGGCACTCTTCCAGTTATCCAGCAAGTGATGGCTGGCCAGAAACCCTTCCTGTAGGAGCCTATGGTCATCATGACCTCTGGTGTTGCAGACTCCCATCAGAGGGCAGTGTTGTGTCAGGGCAGCTCTCCTGGCATGGATTTTAAGCTAGCGGGCCTCCTGAGTAGAAGCTTTGTGCTGCTTCATCAGGGAAACCCTTGTTTAGAGAAAAGGGCTTCCTTGACTCATCCTGAAATTCTTCACCTTCCTTTTAGGAAGATTCTTCAGTGTAGTTATGTGCGCTTTGCAGAAGTAAGATCAGACTTTTCCATTGGCATTGGGATGCAAGTGGGGGCAAGTTTCTGTGCCAGGGGAACCCCAAGGCCGGGTTGTTGTGTCACTTTTTCAATGCCGGATAAGCCGTCCTGACACCATTGCTGCCTGGCTCCATCATTCCCCAACTGCTTGTAGGGCTTGTCAACTGTTCACATATCTCATCATCTAAACATCTGAATATTGATCCATCCTAGTTTACTGACATTCACGCTTTTGTTTTCTAGGTTCCATTAAGTGAATTTGAATTTTCCTGGTCCAAAATATCTGATATTCAGTCTCAGGTTTGTTTGGTTGTCTGTCTGCCTGTCTCAGCCTCATTCCAGCTTTGCCTCTGTAGTGTTCCATTGGCAATCATTGTCTTCCTGGACTCCCTTTTTTTATTATTTATTTATTTATGTATGTGTGTATGTGTTTATTTGTTTATTTATTCTCCTCAAAGGATATGTTTATTGACTTTAGAGAGGGGGGAAGGGAAAGAGAAACATGAGTGTGAGAGAGAGACATCGATTGGTTGCCTCCTATAAGTACCCTAACAAGGGATCAAACCTGCAGCCTTTTGGTATACAGGATGACGCTCCATCCAACTGAGCCACACCAGCCAGGGCGAGTCTCCTTTTTTTATTAATGGCAAATTTGGACTCTGTGATCATTCAGGTTTCCTGCTACACTGATACCACATTTCTTTCTATCTCTGTGTTGTTTCAGACCATGCCATTACTGGAACTTCATAATTAATCTTACTATGGCATGGTTTTGCAAATATTACAAAGCTTGGGACAAGTGTATTGGGACAAACTTTTTTTGTAGGGTGGTTTTTCTAATATATATGAAATCTGTCTTATTAAAACCAATGTTTCTTTCCATTTCAGCTTGAAAAATTGATTGAAAAGAACTACTTCCTTCATAAGTCAGCCCAAGAAGCATATAAATCATACATTCGGGCATATGATTCCCATTCTCTGAAACAGATCTTTAATGTTAATAACTTAAATTTGCCTCAGGTTGCTCTGTCATTTGGTTTCAAGGTGCCTCCTTTTGTTGATCTGAGTATCCTTTTTGTTGTTAGGAATTCATGCAGGAATTAAGGAACAAAAGCTTGACAGACATTTGGGCTTAACACTGGGCCAGTGTGTGCTCTGGCTGAGAACTGGAGGAACGGTGTCCAGCCTGGTCACTGCTTATAAGGAGGCAGGGATTAGTGATAGGAGTGTGGATTATACAAACAGGACAGGTTATGACTTAGGCCTTAAAAAACACAAAGGAATTTGTCAAACAGAGCCAGAACACTGCAATCTGAAGAAAAGCACAGAGGGAGGAATTGCAAAGCTCCACTGTGTGAGGTCCTCAGACTATTGCAGAGCTTCACTGTGTGAGATCCTAAGAACCCACGTAGGGAGACTGTGGTGTCGCAAGATGGTGTATTTGTGGGGAAGGGTGCCCCTGTGTCCCCTCTCCATCTGTCCTGCCATGGAAAAAGTCCCACTGTGTCTTCAGCAAGGCCAAAACAAGAGCTAGTGTCCAGAGTTCCTGCTTCATATTAAAGCTCAATCCTTAGGAGCCCACACAGTCTGTCTCAGGCCCAGTAGCTGCTAGACCCACAAGGTCACATGCTCCTGGATGAGAGTATATGAACTGGACTAGTGTGGGTTCCCAAGCAGGAGCCTTTGTTCCCCTGGGATTATGTTAGTTTGGGTTTGGGACAGACCAGGTGCTTTTTCAAAAGAACCAATCAATTTCCCACTCTTTTGTGGGCTTTTTGATGGTTCTAGCACCTAGTCAGACTGATAGGCCTGTATGGTCCAACTCATCACCCCACCCAACAATCTGGTATTAGAGTCAGGAATGGAGGAGTGTCAAATCCCTTGGCAGAGAAATGCTGTAATCCCCTGGACTGTGAAGCTGTGGTTTTCTGTTAAAGCAAACCACTTTATGCTTCCCAATTTATTAAGCCCAATGTCTAATTCCCTTTGCTGTCCTTCCTTTATTAGTATCTAGCTAACTACCAACAGTAACAGCTTCCTTGTGTGACATCTTCAGGCTATTGCTAGGCTTCACTGTATGACAGCTGTTGGAGGAGCATGATGCCCTGAAGAGAGGAGACAGAACTTTCATAGGGCTTTTATCCTCTCACAGCCATCCGTATAAGGAGGTTGCAAGATCAGCAAAAGAAAACTTAAGTACTACTCAAGATAAAAGGCAAAAGGAATATCTCCAGTTGATTCTGTTAGGACTTTATAACGTGTGTTTTATTATGACATTTTCAACGAAAGAAACTGAAGCAGCTAAAGTAAAGCCTGCTCAATAACGCTATGGTGTTAACTGCCAAAGGAGAAAACCAAATTTGGGTCACCCTCATTGTAAGCACTGAGTAAATGCCTACATGTTCAATTATATGAAAAAAAAAGAACTCCACTCTTTTAAGCATTCCTTAATTAGCCCCAAACAAAGGTTAAAGTCATTTGTTTTGACGCAGAGTATTTTTGTGTTCCTATAAACTTGATGATTTACCTCTTAGAAGTAATTGTAATTGTCTTGAGTTTCTTGTGTGGAGAAAATAATTAATGATGGTTATACTGGACTTAAAATCACTCCTGCTAATTTTAGTCGGCAGTCAACATGAACACTCCTAATTTCCTGTAAGTGTGTTGCATAGGCTAATGTTTGTACGTTTCCATGGTTCAGGGAGGGGTTGTGGTAAAAGGACAAGAGGGTTCATGCTGCTTGGTTCTCTGTGTAGGTGTTACATTAGAGTTCTATCTGTGTGTTGCTTGATTTCCTTAACATGCACCTTTAGATGTAAACAGCAATGAAGGCAAGCTTAAAAAGAGAGGAGGTGGTGGTGGATTCGGCTACCAGAAAGCCAAGAAAGTTGAAAAGTTCAAAATCTTCAAACACATCAGCAAGAAATCTGACAGCAGACAGTTCTCTCACTGAAGGCACGTCCACCTTTCATCTTCAAGAGCTTGTCCTGAAATGATGTTGTCTTTATTGCTCTAACAAAAAAAATTCTTTACTTTAGGATTTGGACTGATCTAACGAGTATAAGTTGACTTGGGTTATGAGCACTGGGCATTGATATTTCTAGCAAGTCTCTTATTTGAGGTTATAAAATAGTTCAGTTTTTCTTGATTTCCCAACAACAAAGCAAAGGATCTTTTTGGTCTTCGTTGTGATTATAGTTGTTTTCTTCTCTATTTGTCACTGTTTCTCATTCTTTTTGTAACTTTCTGGTATCTGAAGATTTGTGCAGCATGGATTGCTATGGTAACCTGATATAAAAGGCAGGCGACCTAGTACACTGGACAGGAGGTGATGGTGGTGGTGACGATGCAGGAAATAATCTCGGTTTATTTTTTTGGTTTTTGTTGTTTCTTGGGCCTTAATGGTACTTCTTGACCCCTCCTGAAAATGCTGCTGTGTAAAAGGGCAAAGAGCTTTTGGAAATACCTAAGAAGCACCTTCAATTAAAGGTAGCACTGACTTATATATATATTTACCAGATATTAAAATAATAAGCCTTTCCTAATTTTATTGTTTTAAGAGCAAGAAGTATGAGTTGTTAACAATTTGAATAAAATGCCCCTAGCAGTTCTTTTTGGAATGAGGGGAGATCTCAGACTGCTGAGCCTTACACCAGTGCAGGTGCAGTAGGCTTCCATTCTCTATTAGGCAATTCAGCAGAGGCCTTTAAAAAGAATAGGATTCTCATTCAGATTTGTTCTAGGTGATTTGGGTTTTTGCAAGCCCTTTCAACACTGCAATGCATTTTGGGAAGGGGGGCTTGAAAACAATCGCCTGTTTCCAATCTTTGAAACAAATATACAGTGAAATTGAAAATGAAGTCAGAAAGAGCAGGGATTTAGTCAGATGTAGTTTTTTTGTTGTAGGAGCTCTTAATTTATATTTTATGTTTTAGTTCTAGTGTGTCTCAAGTACAAAATGGTGGTTACATTTTGTAGCAATTTAAAACCAAAGTTGCTAGCATCATTTTGCTATTGTGCCAGCTCATATTTATAAATTCTTGTTAAATATATGTGTACTGAGAACATCAGATGTAGATAAAACAGTCTGATAAATAGTATTCTAGAAGGGAAAGAAAAGAATGACATCCTGCAACTGGGTTCTCAACTGTCTTTGAAGCGGGACCTGTCTTGAGTTTCAGACTTGGATTGCTAGACTCCTCACATTTACTAACTCTTTCTTTATCCATGACTTGTTTTTCTTTTTTGTTTCAGAAATAAACATGTTTCAGAAAATACACAAAAGCAAAAAGAAGAATATTTAATCACTGAACAGAAGACTGAATATTTTCATATATAACCTTCCAGTGTTTTATATATATACTTTTAAATTTTTTATCAGAAGTGAAATCTTCTACCCACTATTTGTGACCAGCTTGTTTCATAACATGGTATTTTCTCTGTCATTAATCACATCAGTTTTGTGTTTCATTTATTAATATACTTTGTTAACTGTGCTTGGTCCGCCTGGATTTGGGTTCTAGATGTCTGATTGTCTCAGCATTTCTAAGAAAAGGTGGTGGAACGATTAGCTTCTACTATAATAACGGCTAGGGGCATCCTGGCAACCAGACTTGACCAACCATGCCAGGATTTAAATCCTGAGGGAACCAGTACTAGAATCAGATACAAGGTCAGGGTAGCACCATCTGCAAGGCTTATTTGTGTAAGGAGAAGGCCTCCTTGGGTTCCTGTGCTAAGAGCACAGTGGCTGGTGGCATGTGTGGAGCTGTTTACTTGACAGGTGGGATTAAGTGGCTTTAGCCAGGAAGGTTTGGCAGCATGGATAGGGAGCCAAGCAGATCACTACATGCCAAAGAAACCTTTGGATCCTCTGGGCTGCAGACAGTGATAAGTAAGTAAAGCTGAATCCAGTACCCCAAAAAGGATCTTACTTATTCAACTATATGGAGCAGTTAAATGAATGCTCTAGAACCAGAATATCTGGATTCAAATTCCAGCTGTGCCTCCTATTTTTCTGGGCCTGTTAAATGAGTGAAAAACAAGGTAGGAAAACCTGTTTTGTAGGACTGCATGAATTGAATGAGCTAAGTACTTAGGACAGTGCCCAGCACAAAGTACCCTATCCATTAGCTGTGTTGATTAACATGCATCCTGCATGAAAAGTTTGCTGCCCCACAGTATCAGATATGAGGACTCATCAAAAATCCTGAGCCAGCTTGGGCCTTTGGGCCCAGACTAAGGAGTTCCGACAGTCTGAATCCCCTGGAATTGAAGAAGGTTCCCGGATCCTGCAGCACCTTCCTAAGGCAACTGTCAAGTAGATTAATGCAGTTTCAGGAGTACTCAGATTTGCACTGGGTGTTAGGTGGAGGGATCAGCAGAGTGCACTTGGATAACCCCAAGTCACCGTGGATTAAACGGCTGTTAGGTGTTAGGAACTGTGCACAGGACACACGTGCCGTAGCCTAGTTCCTCTTAGGAGCCTGGTTACAGTCTAGAGGAGATAGAAAGGTGCTGGGAATGATTGTAAAGTTTTCCAAGTCATGATGCAGATAGATAGAAAAATACTCAAGCTGTTTCTAAGCCTGGAAAACTGCATCCTTGAGTTCTGGTGCATTTCGGTGGATGAAAAGGTGATGGAACCTTCTCTGCCTATAGAGGACAGGCTTCTGTCCTGGTCAGTAAGTTCCCAAATGCCAGTTGTGCTACAGACAAAACAGATTTTTAAAGATTTTCTTGCCCTATGTCCAGGAGATTCTGATTTAGGTCTTTGGCAGGACAGAGAAATATGGATGATTCTCCCGCACAGCTAGGTTTGGGAATACCCAAACAAGAATCAGTACGTGCAGAACCTCTTGCCAAACTGCATAAGCTGTCATCTTGCAAAGTGGATATACCTAACCTAGGAGATAGGTTAGTATGTTTAGTCATCCACACACTAGGGTGGCTCAGAGGGGACTTGGGCTTTCCAGAGGGAACAATTGTTTAAATGTCTTTTGCATGAAAAAGCACAATGTAGGATGGCGTAACTACCTGGCCCTCATGCTCCCCCAGCCAGCCAAGTCCCCAAGGTCCCCCAACAGTGCTCTATTAAATTGGAATTCAGTTGATTAATTTCATCCCGGGAGATGAAACCGATTTGTCTTGGCCCTGTATCTGTGAAGAAAGCCATTCTCTCCTCTAGGATTCATCTTCATCTGTAATGCAGGGGGAATGGGAAATTTAACTGGCTGACCACTGTAGTGGGCGCTCTGTTGTGAGGGCTACCCAGAGTCTAATCCTGTGTTTGGAGACTGTCATTTAAGTCCTGGTGAGTCGCTGAGATCACTTCTCATCAGAAAAGCTGAAAAGCCTCCCCTACAGCCAGAGCAGGGCTGTGACCTGGGTTTCATTGGCCAGATGGACACTGAGTCAGGTAGGAGTAAGGGAGCAGAAGCAAGGGGTGGCTTCTTCATCAAACTTCAGAGGCAGCTGCAGGAAGCAGAGGTGATGCCAGCTGTGGCTTTGACAGCAGCACAGTGCTTAACGAATGGTGGCTGGGTGGTCCTGCGTCTTACCCACCTACCCTTAATTCTGCCTGGTTTCCCAACAGAGTTCTCTAGCCACCTGCTGTGGCTTCACTTTCCAAGTGGCTCTTCATTGCTTATAACTAAGAACCTGTAACATTCGCCGTCCTTAGACTGGGTTTCCTTCTGTTGGTGGGTGAAGTGTCTGATGGCTTCCCACCATTCAGGCTCTCCTTGCCCAGAGCCTTCATGCTCCCCAAACACAGGGGAAATGGTTGATTTGGACCAAGGTCGGGACTTGAAACCCACAAGGCAAGGGTGTGTTGAAGGAAGAACGAGTGGCAAGCTCACCACCTCCAAGGACAAATCTTGGAGAATCTGGCCTGGATCCAGAGAGTTTGGAGGCAGGAGGAAAGCGGGCCTTCAGCATTACTCAGCCTCCACAGGAATATCTGCAGGGAAAGGGCAAGGCTGACCATCCTCCCAGTCAGGCAGAGCTAGGGTGAACCCTGGCCTCACCCTTGCTGTGCCTCAGTTTCCTCATCTACAGAAAGGGAACAGGTGATGGGAGCACAGGGTTAAATCCCCTAGAGACATTTAGCATAGAATTGAGTAGTTAGCTCTCAGAAATTACAACTATGGTACAGTTACCAAGGATATCAGAAAAGCAAGACAGAAACAAAACAATGTTTTCTAGGACATACCTGCTTTCTCATATCCTGTCCTCACTATCAGAATATCAAAGTTCCTGATGCCTTAGGCCAAAAATCTCTGGAGGAGTCTCACTGTTTCTGATTCCCCAATCTCCCAACAGAGGGCCTCCAGCCAGGGGTGAGGACCCTGAGAGGGGAGCTGTGCTCCGAAGGGGGCCCCTGGAGGGGTGGGACTGGAGGTGGATTGATCCTCATTTTGGTGGCTAAGGAGGTCTGTAGGGGATCCTTTTACCAGCTGGAGAAAAGGGAACCCAGTAGGGCAATAGCAGGGACAAGGCACTGCCAGGCCCCATCATCCTCAGAACATGGGCTGAGGAAAACACAGTAATAAGTCTGACGCTGGAGAAGCCAAGCTCCCAGCGAAATGCTTTCCATACTTGAACTTGAAACTTCCAGCAGTCCTGGAAAGGACAGGTAGTATACCCCAACATTACAAAGAGGAAATGAAAGCTCATTAGATGGCCAATAATAGCTGTTAAATAAACAGCCTGGCCTGGAGACTAATGCTGTACTGCTCAGCCCTAAAACAGGCTACATTCCCATTTGTGGAGCAGCTCCGAGGTGGCTGAGGCAGGCTTTCCTCTTTTCCCCAAGAGAGAATGCTTGAGTCCTCAGATGCAGACGGGAGGGTCTGGCGAGCACCTAGGCACCTGAGCCCTAATGCAGTGCTGGAGGTGCTGGGTGAGGGCACAGAGGCTGGCTTGCAGCCCTGACACTCCAGTAGCTGTGGCTACCTGGTGGCTTTGATTGAGTAAAAAAAAAAAAAAAAAAAAAAAAACCGTGTGAGCAGTGGCCTCAACATTGTTCAGATAGCAGGTGTTTGAGCATCTACTGAGAGCAGGATGCTAGGGGTACAGGGGTGATTCTAGTTCTATTATAGAAGCTTACTCTGAAAGGGATATGAGATAAATATGGGGGAACTGTACTAAAAGGAGAAAATAATCATCTCCAAGGGCTAAATGATCAAGAACAGCTTTGGGAAGGTGATGTCAGAGCTGAACCTCACAGGAACTGGAGCAAAGTGAGTGGAGGAAGAAAGGTGTTCAAACAATGGGGGCAGCATGATCAAAGACTAAGAGGAAGCAGCCAGGGGTCACGTGTAAAATAAGAACAGCATCATCAACCTCACTGGACTGCTGTAAGGATTCTGTGAACCAGTATGGTAAGCACTTCAGAAATAGCTGCTGTTGTCAGAGCACGATGTCTGCTTTGGAAGACAGTGAGAACTCAGAGACATGAGGTTAGGAAGCAGACCCATGAAGTTTCCATTTGATTTGCAATGGAGAGAAAGATGCAATATCCACTTTGCATTGAGATTAATCCTGGCAAATGTTTAGGGTGGAAAGGATTAGGGTGAAACAAGGTGGGGAAAACGGAACAAAAGAAGGAACAGATATGAGAGACATTGTGACACTGCAGTTCTCCAGACATTACCGCTGATTGCTGTTGGGGTGAAACTGGGGTGGTTTGAAGAAGATAAGAATGTGATGATGGGGTGGTGGAGAGAAAGGTGGTCCCACTAGCAAATACAGAGAAACTGATGTGTAGCCTTGAGCATGTAACTTTAACTCACTAGCTCACTTTCCTCCTAACACAAAATAATCTCTATCAAGATTACTGCAAGAATGAAACAGATCCACAAACGTAAAGCAGTTTTTGTGTAGCAAGGAAAGCAAAGACTGAACAAGTGTTAGCCCCTCTGTTTGCCGTTATGTAAAATGCTCTTACATTGTCTTTTAATTATTTCACGTGGCTAAGCTTTAGCTTATTGACCAGTTCATCAGCATAGATACAAGTACTTTCAAAATCTGCAATTTAAGTTCCTTACAGACCATTTTTGTACTTTGTGTTTATATCTGTCTGTCTCACACAGCAACTTTTTCGTTCTTTCCTTTTGCCTCTCCATCTAGAACAGTGGTTCTCAACTGAGGTTGATTTTGTCTCCCAGGGGACAGTTGGCAATGACTGAAGACATTGGTTGACATGATTGTGGGGAGGATACCACTGGCACCTTATGGGTCAAGACCAGGGATGTTGCTAACCATCTCTGTGCACAGGATAGGCCCCCACAACAAATTATCCAGCCCAGATGTCAATAGTGTGATGGGAAGCCTTGATCTAAACAGTCCTTGAGTGCCTGGATGAAAAAAAACTAGACCAATGCAACTTTCTCAAACACAATTTGAAATTTTAGGAGTTGCAATATGATTACTGAAAAAAGATGGAAGCTCA